AATTATAAATAAATTATAAATTACTCTTTTTTATTTGTCCCGAAAGGGCACTTTGTTTTACAATGGCAAACATACATTTACATTCATAAATACATAATTATGAATACGTCCGTACATAAATACATGCAGAAATACACACATGAATACATAGTGCTACACAAGTACAAAATAGTTTACAAACATGCCACTGTCGGTGGCCACTGTGCAGTGCCCTATATTTTGAGCTAGGGTTGTCGTGTCTTGCTCAAGGACACACCCCAGTGATCACCCATCTGATCCCCGTATCACCGACACTTGCTGTATGGTGGGTGTTGACCACTCTGACCAACTGATATCCTACATACCCCTTCATCAGCGCACATCCAAGTGTTGGAGAAAAAAAATGTTCATGCATCTTTTTACTTTGAATCTCATCCAGTGCTCAGTTCTGTTCAACACAAAAAAAGACAAACGAGCAAATCCACAAGCTGCCTCAGTTTCCCGTGCCTGATTTTTCCGAAACAATTTGGCCAAGCTTTAGCCACTTTCTGTGCCCAGCTATGCGACGCCCTGATTCCCCACGCTCTGCACCTCCTCCCACAGCCAATACGTGGGTGGTTTGCAGGTGCTCTGGTGTGGTTTGCTTCTTCTTTCCTATCAAACATCTATCGTCTTTATCTCCCCTTCTTCTTTTATATGTTTGTTACTCGCTTGTAACACCTCTAATCTTCTGGCGCTCATATGACCGTATGCAGTTGTGAGCGCCGTAAAACCTCTACTAAAACTTTTTTTAAAAACAGCCAGTAGGCCCCCAACACCTTCTGGACATGCCTTCCCAACACCAGGAGCCTCTGCTACTGCCACACCAACAACAACTTTTACTGGCTCGGTAGAGAAACATTTCCCTTACCCTACCTCTCCTACACCTTCAAACCAAAAAACCAAAAGCCAAGGCGTGATTGCAAAGTTGTGCGCAGCTAGACAGAAAGCGAAAGGTCGATCCGGCAGAAGGAGCTAAAAAAAAACAACTTTTAAAGAAATGAAACTTTCTTCTGGTGTCTCCTAACTGCAAAGTAGGCGTCGATGGCCTAGTGGTTGGGCTCTCGGACTCGCAACCGTAAGGTCGTGGGTTCGAATCCCGTCAGAGGCCCGACGTTGTGTCCTTGGGAAAGACACTTTGCACAAATTTTCCTCACTTCACCCAGGTGGAAATGGGTACCCGGCTATAGACAGTGAACGATCTTGTCAGTTTGATATTGTTTGAGCGTGTGAAATCCGCAGCTTGCACT